GCCCCCCCCCCCCCCCCCCCCCCCCCCCCCCAGGCGAGGTCTCTATATAAACCGCTCCAGCGAGCTGGTGTTTAGCATAATCGCACTGATAGCCGGCTGCAGCCAGAGCCGCTTGCATTCCCCTGGACTAACTCATTCATCAGCCTGGATTATTGCTCCCTGACCCACACTGTAGCTCAGCTATGACTGTCAAAGCCGAAGCATCTGGACCCACATTAACGTATTCCAAGATGAGGGGAGTTGTTGCCATACTCATCGGTGAGTTTGAAGAAGAAAGGCAGAGTGACCATGGCTCTTTGGGGGGCTACGGATATTTTGGATGCACTCATGTCCGATTCACTTAAAAAAACCAACCACCCACGTTTTGGATGTCCTGTCGTAACGCTTTTCTTTTTATTTGCAGCTTTCATGAAACAGAGACGAATGGGGCTAAATGACTTCATTCAAAAAATAGCCACCAACTCCTACCCGTGCAAGCAGTAAGTAGCGCAATTTTATGTGTATCGATCTGAAAATCGAGCCTTACATTTTTATGATTGAAATATTTAGGTATTAGGTTATTAATGATTGTCAGAACTGAATTAATTTTTTCACAATATTATTAGTTATATAACACACTTTACTGAGTTTGTTAGCATATATTTAAGTTTTTACTGAGTTTAGTTAGCATAAATAAAACCAGAGAGCACAGGTTAGTTTGATACCCATCCTATCCATGACATTTAACTACAGAACAAGCAAGTGTTTAACTACAGAACAAGAAACTGCACAGTTAGTTCTTTTTTTTTTCCTGTTTCATTTTAGTTCTGAAATGTAATAGACTGTCCCTAGTTGCCTGCCAAACTGAAACTTAATAAGTAGACTGCTTGCATGCCCTCTAGAGGTGACATGTTACTGCCTGTTGTACAGGGCAACTGTTCTAATAATGTACTCTCTAATCTTTTCCAGCCCTGAAGTTCAGTCTATTTTGAAGATCTCCCAGCCTGAAGAGCCTGAACTTATGAATGCTAATCCTTCCCCTCCAGTAAGTAGTCTTCATTATGTGAATCATTTCCACTAATAGAAACATGTTTTAAAATAGCTATTCTGTAAATTAGCAACTTGACAAGAATGTCCCTTTTAGTTCAGCTCACAGGGCAGTGATGTAACTTCAAAAAGGAGTTACCAGTTTAGAATAAAATTCATACCTATTTTGTATGGAAAAAGTCAATGATTTAAAGAAGGCTATATTACATGTCTTTTAAGTAGGGAAATCCCTAATCTTACTTAAAATTTTAATTTGAGGTTGTACAAGAATCTCATGCTAATTTTGGTGAAAGGGGACATAGATTTGGTTTAATATAACCAAGTAAAATGATCTCTAAATCCATGAATAGATTCGTATAATAACCCTTTGTGGTCCATTTCAAATAAACATCTTTTAAGCGTCATTTGTTTGTTTTTAATTATAGCCCAGCCCTTCACAGCAAATTAATCTTGGCCCGTCATCCAACCCACACGCCAAGCCATCAGACTTTCATTTCTTAAAGGTTATTGGAAAAGGAAGTTTTGGGAAGGTAAGTCCTACTTCTTTCCACCTTAATTTGGTGATGCACTTGTTTAAGGGCTGAGGTTATAGCCAGCTTGCTTTAGTGGGAAAATCTCTGTTCTCCAATGATTCACTGATACTTCACAGCTTTGAGGAGGAAGTTGCTTGCCCTGCAGTGGATAGGTGGGGCAAGGTGTTTTAGTTAAGGAGAAGGAGTTGCAAGGAAAACTCACTGGGATTGATCTTTTATGCAGGAGAGGTAGTAGGGTAGGTCCTGGAAACCAGGAGAATCAGCCTTTTTAAAAAGCCTCTCTGCTGGCATTTTGTTGATAATGCTAGGCATTGCTATCAAAATGCTTCGAAATGCAGCTGGTAATATACAGTGGTAATAGTGCTCAGCGGTAGCATAGACGATATCCAAAACCCTTTCTCCCAGCTGTGTTTATATGCTGCTCTGTATTCCAGTACATTTAAGTAATGGGATTTTCAACTGCTTTCAGGTTCTCCTTGCAAGGCATAAAGCAGAAGAAGAATTCTATGCTGTTAAAGTACTGCAGAAGAAAGCAATCCTGAAAAAGAAGGAGGTAAGTATCTCCTTTTTCACAATATAGCAATGCAAATTACCAAGTTTAGTTTATTACTACAAGTTAGCAAGCTTTTTGTAACTAAATATTGGTTTTTTTTCTATTTTTAGGAGAAACACATAGCTGAAAAAAGTGAAAAACCCTTTCCTGGTTGGGCTCCACTTTTCTTTCCAGACTGCAGATAAATTGTACTTTGTCCTTGACTACATCAATGGTGGAGAGGTAAGCAGCAAGCGAATGAAATAATTCCTAATATGTGCACAGTGGTTTTGTAGATCTGTCTTCTTTTTAAATTAAAAACAAAGTTCCAAGGGGAAAAGTTATTAGAGTTAGCATCTTCAGCCTGCCAGGTTTCATATGCTAGAGGATCATTAGGCCATTTCCTGCTATTGTTCTTCTTAGCTATATATGTCAAGTCTAATTAAATGCATTGTTAACAGGCTTTGGCACCATTTACAGAGCTTTGTTCTTTCTGTCTCCTGTAGTTATTCTACCATCTCCAGAGGGAACGTTGCTTCCTGGAACCAAGAGCACGGTTTTATGCTGCTGAAATAGCAAGTGCACTGGGCTACTTGCACTCTCTTAATATAGTTTATCGGTAAGCAGTGTGTTATTCAGTTTAGGCATGATTATAAATTTGCATATTTTGTAACTTACTGTGGAAAATAGATTTCAATATATTAGTTTCAAAGTAATTTTTCTGAATCAAAAGACTTACAAAATCTATATATATGCTCAGAAACTACTAAGAATATTTTTTAACTGAGAAGAACTAACATTTGTGTTAATCTTTTGTTGCTACAGGGACTTGAAGCCAGAGAACATCTTGCTGGATTCTCAGGGGCATATTATCTTGACTGACTTTGGACTCTGCAAAGAGAACATAGAACCTAACGGCACTACCTCCACCTTTTGTGGCACACCTGAGGTATGCTTAGTTCTGCTTTCTGAAATAGTTACCGTTTGTCTATAAACTGAGTGGATAAGAGCAGATGAGGCAACAGTAAATATGCATGCCTGAGGGAAACTTACAGTGGAATAGATAAGTGGGAGAAAGTAAGATCCTTAAAATGATAGCCATCAGTGAAGAATGAGCCTTATGCAGTGGGAACTGTTCTCAAGTTAACTTGTATATAAATGACATTTTAATTCTAGCATAGCTGTTGTTTTGAGTAAGACATTGTGGGCTTTTCTAGTTCAGGAACATAAGTATTTTAGTTAGTCTTAAGATTCTTCAGCCTCTGGCTAATATTATGGTTCTGCTTTTATTTAACAGTATCTTGCTCCTGAAGTTCTTCATAAGCAGCCCTACGACAGAACTGTTGATTGGTGGTGCCTTGGAGCAGTTTTATATGAAATGCTTTATGGACTGGTAAGTAAGATATACTGGCAACTCAAATAGCTTACTGTGGTTCTTACAGGAAAACAGTTCTATACTTCAATCATTTACCTAAACTTGTGGCTTCAGTTAAGATAAGGACTCCAACCAATGTTCTCTATTGCTGTCATCCTGGTTAAGAATTCTGTGTATGGATCAAGGGCAGCACATGGCATTAAGATAATAATAGCCTGTGGTATTACAGTAGAATGCATATGTGTGTAATTTTTTTAAGCACTTACATTTATTTACCTTTTTATTTCTTTCCCAC